TTCTGGGCTCAACACAGGTCACTGTGGTCAAATTAGTGAGAAGACATGAAACATAATAGGGATACACCATTAATGAAATGATTGAATAATAATCATGTCGCACTGGGCACATGTCCCTGCATTGGCGGTCAAATTCAGAACATTTCCATTGATTCATCCCACTGGACTGAACTAAAGATTATTTTATGACACAAGCAAAATCATTTCACAGGAGTGTTTCACATTCATTGATACATTTTCATCATCTATGACTCTTACACACATGTATGTGATAAAAATAGTATTTGCAAATTTCTCATGCACATAAGAAATGTGTTGTTACAGGTCAAACTTTATAGATGCACTTTATAGATGCGTGTTCCAATGCAAGAATGTTAATCGACAAATGTCGCAATATTGATTAGTCATTGCTACATCAACCAAAACACATCCAGCCCAAATGTGGGGAAATAAACTACCATGGACAGTGCTCTTTATTCAACCATTTTTACCAATATTAGAGTTATTGGAGTGCTAGCTATTAAATGCGTCAATAATGTGTTAAGAAACTCTGAGGACGCACCACGTTGGGGGAAAGAATAGCACTCTCACATATATTAACATGAGAAACTACAGTGAAACTAGGAATCTTTGTACTTTGTAGGATCTCCTACAAAATCTAAGCTCAGATCATACAGTTGGGTATTAACAGGTTGGCTATTTAAACTTATACCTGTTGATCTATATATGTATAGAGGTCAGGATAAGCAATGTCTGACCACTGTTATTGATCCACTCGGATAGGGGCGGAAACTGAAGAAACATGACGGCTGACTGATCAATCTTAATGTATCAACGTTTTATCACAAACGCTCAGGTCCAGGCAAAATTGTAATCCAAACACATCAAACTGCACTGACATGTATTGAATCTTCAGTTTTCTATCCCTCAAAAAGGGGGCACGGCCATGACTCTTTGAAGTACCCATAGGTGCCGGTCTGATGTATTACTTACATCATCAGTAGGAGCTGAAAGATGATCAATATGGGAAATCTCTCCTGTGTTCAGAAGGTAGGCTCTGTGGAATCTTAAAGCTGTGGCAGATGACAGCAAGCAGTAGAGTCAGTAGTAATTGTGTGAAAATGTGGAGGTATGCTGCAGTGTGGACAGGGCTCGGACTCAAGAGACTCGCAAGGTTTTGAAGAATTAGGTCCAGTCTTCCCTGCTGCTTCTCACTTGAAAATAATTAGAAGCTCAGCTGCTCCCCATGTCTTAGAATGCACATTTAATATAATAAAACGGTGGAGCTTTTTCATCGCTTAAGTTTCTACACAGCTCTGTCAATACATAGAATAAGAAAATAAAGAATCTTTTTGAATCTCCACAAACACCAGGTGTTTTTTTTTTTTGGAGAGGTGATTCTAATAGGGGTGGACAAATCAACAGAAACCCCATGTATTGCAGTCCATTTCAACACAAAAAACTAACTAAAGTCTTAAAAATATAGAATAGGGTTTGGTAAAAAGCTCTCTTTGATGGCTAGACATTGCAAGCTTCACAGAGATGGGATTTATTGTTTGGCTGTTATATTGGCAAAACAAGCCTACCAGTTCAAATGATAGTGTGTGTGCCCCATGTAATAAGTCTCCCCTCTTCGCCTCTCAGTAGTCAATAAAACAAAAGCCCCAAAAACAATGATGAATTACTTGTACAGACAAAGTTAGACAAATTACCTGTTGTGAGGCTTTGCCAAACTCAAAACAAAAACTTTGTCTTGTTAGCAGAATTTTAAATGGTTGCAGCCTCTGACTTAGTTCCGTTATATTCAGCAATACCGCAGAACTTCTGTAGACGTACTGAGCAGCCATACAGACATTTAAACGGCAACAACAGAACAACAAGTTAACTTTGCAAATAATTCCTTGTGGTGTGGTGCACATGATGGAATCACTTCAGGAGCCATACATCAGAAATAGGACAGCAGCTACTCGTGAAGCACTGCAACAGTGAGCTGGCAGCTGTTAAGATCTGAAATCAAGTGAAGCGAAGTGGGAAGGGCACTGATTTGAGGTATTGTCATGTCCACAGCTGCCCACTGATCAGCAAGTATTGTGTTGAATAACAGAACATCTGCAGATAAGATTTAACTACATGGAGTTTGGTATACTGTAAATAAAATATCGGTCTGTGAAGGAATAGGCAA